CACCTTTAATCCCAGCACTCAAGAGGCAGAGCCAGGTATATCTCTGTGAGTTCGAGTCCAGCCTGGTCTACAGAGCAAGATCCAGGACAGCTAGGGCTCCACAGAGAAATCCTGTCTCTAAAAAACAATCAAACAAACAGGAGAATGGGGGTGCCTTCCTCTGCAGCTCCTGAGTGCCCCCAGAGATACCCTCAGGCTTCCTCTGCTTAGGCCTGGACATAGTTCCCCTGCTTCACGCAATAAACATTTATTGAGCACCTACTGTGTACCAGGGTCCTGCAGAAAGGAGTAGAAGAAGACAGATACCAAACAGTAAAGATGCAGTGCTATTCAGGTAAGACTCGGGTGTAGTTCGGTGCAGAGTATGGGATTAGCAATCTTGAGGCTCTAGATTCTATTATCTCCCCCTCTACCCCCACACTAACTAACCAATAAATGGAGGTCAATGACAAAAGACATTAGGTGACCAGAGAAGGCATCTGATTCTATTGTGGTGCAGTTGGCCAGTTGTCTGTGTCTTCCACTGTCAAAAGAAAGACATCAGTGCTGGGGGTAGAGGCCCACGCCTTTGATCCCAGCATTCAGGAGGTGGAGGCAGATGTAGCTCCAGGAGTGGAAGGCCAGCCTGGGAGATGTAGCAATCTCCAGGCCCAGAAAGAAAGAAAGAGACAACATTGTTTCCTTTGCCTCAGTTTCCCTTAGCTGGAACATAAAGCTAACGACACTTTTGTAAAACCCAAGAGCCTTGTAGAGTGACGCTATGCAAGTTTACCACAGGCAACTGGCAGGCCGAGGTTCACCATCCTCTTAAAAATTTTTTTTTTTTTTTTTTTTGAAACTGGGTATTTTTGTATAGTCTTGAAACTAGCTCTTTAGACCTGGCCTCTAACTCAGAGATCTTTGCACCTCTGCCTCCCGAGTGCTGGAATTAAAAGCATGTGAGACCACACCTTGATGAAACTTTTCAGTGTTATTATGGTACTACACATGCGAAATTCCACAGCTGACCTCTGATGGTTCAATGTACACTCGTGTGTGTGTGTGTGTGTGTGTGTGTGTGTGTGTGTGTGTTATGGTATGTCATGTTTGTTACAAATAGGATCTTGTTGTATAGCCCAGGCTGGCCTCTAACTCATGATCCTCCTGACTCAATTTCCCAAGTACTGATTTTTCTTTTAGACTTATTTTTGTTCTGTTTTGAATCAGTTTTGTTTGTTTGTTTGTTTGTTTGTTTGTTTGTTGTTTTTTGTTTTGAGACAGGATCTCACTGTGCAGCTCTGGCTGTCCTGGAACTAACTATGTAGAGCAGGTTATCCTCAAAGTCACAGAAATCTGTCCCTGCCTCCTGAGTTTTGGCATTAAAGGTGCACACCGCTATGACTGGCTTCTTTTTAGAGTTATTATTTTTATTTATGTGTATGGGTATTTTGTCTACATGTATGTATATGTACCATGTATGTGCCTGGTATTCACAGAGGCCAGATGAGGACATTAGATCCCTTGGAGCTGGAGTTCCAGGTGACTGTGAGCCACCACGGGGTGCTAGGAATCAAAGAGTTCTTCGACTAGCAAGTGCTCACCACTGAGCCGTCCATCACTCCAGCCCCGGCCCCGGCCCCGGCCCGCCCCAAGTGCTGAGATTAATAGGGGAATGCTAGTAAAGCCAATTCCACAGTTTCCTTCATACACAAAATTACTACAATTATTGTATTAATTACTCTCAGTCTACGTGTACAAAGTGTATAAGAAGATTAAATTAATTAAATTAATTTCATACTTAGATTTAGGCTCTAGCCTAAATCTAACCAGAACCTACACACCCACACACACACACACCCACACACACACACACACACACACCGCCCCCCCCCCGCCCCCCCCCCGCCCTTCTCACTCCTCTCTCTCTCAGTGTTGGAGATTACATCCAGGCCCTCTAATACACTAAACAAATGTTCAACCACTTGGCTGTACCCCAGCCCGAGTCCAAAGCATTTTGTTATACCCAGGGTTATTCCTGAGTACACTCTCACTGATTTCTGTCCCTGACACAGTGACAGGTCACAGACGTACACCCTGGCATTTAGGCACATCCCAGCACTCCCCACGCACCTTGGAACACCGACATAGGGGGTCCGCTGACCACGACCATCCGCTCCACTAGGGATGGGAAGTAGATGGAGAAATTCCAGGCAAGGACAGCCCCCCAGTCATGGCTCACAAGGATGGACTTGGAGTACCCTGGGGGGAAGAGGGGGCAGACGCGATGGTGTAAGATGTAGTAGGGGTGAGGTAGAAGTGTGGGAGTGGGTCCCAAAAGGAGCAACGATAAGATGAGTGCACAGGATGGGAGAGGCCTCTCCTGCGATGGTCACTGACTCATACCCAGGCCTAGAATGACATCCTTGATATCAGCCAACAGCAGGTCAACGGTGTAACAGTCCACATCCTTTGGAGCATCTGAGGGGCCATAACCACGCAGGTCCACAGCTACCACGTGGAAACGGCTCTGGAACTCCCGCAGCTGGTAGCGCCAGGAGAACCTGCCCGGTGAGGGAGTTGGGAGTTGAGTCAGCCGTCTGAAGGATGTACCTCCTGTACCCAGCAACTACCTTAGGCCACCCCGCCTTTCTGCTCTGGACTTCTTAGAAAGGAAATGGGGGAATCCCAGGCAGAGAGGCCCAAGGCCACCTCACCTTCAATAATCCCCTTGTCCAGTCTCTTCAGAGGGACAACCTGTCCTCTGGGGCGTTATCTCTGCCCCTTTGCCCACCTTCTGGGTTTTTTATGCTCTGTACCCCCAGGACTACTCAACCCTGTTAGTTCCCATTTTCTCATGGTCAGAGCTCTACTTTTCCCCAGTCCAGTGAGCACCAGGACCCAGGGACCCAGACTTACCAGTTCTCTGGGAAGCCATGCAGAAATAGCATGAGGGGCCCGTTGCCGCGACCAGCAGAGACATAGTGCAGACGTAGGCCCGAACTCTGAGGGAAAGCCCAATCTAAGTAAGAGCTGAGGTAGCTAAGGGAGCTTCCTTCCTAGCCATATGGGCCCAGATCCATTTGGACTCCATATCTCAACCCCCTTTCTTCATTCTCCGTCCACCCCACCCATGAAACCTGCCTCCCAGGGGCACTCACCCTGAGGGTCAGAAAGCAGTGCTCGCCCAGCGTGGGGTCTCTCAGGCAGTCTGGCGCTGACAACCGCTGGCGGCCGCAGCAGCCCCGGCGGGGGCGGCACAGCACGGTGGTGAGCGCGATGCAGCTGTAGACAAAGGCGGCCACCAAGGCAGCCAGATACACCAGGCTCATCACCAAGGCGCGCAGCAGCTTCAGCGAGAGGCGGGAGGGCGCCAGCAGCGCCGTCACCACCAACTCCTCCGGCATATCCTCGCGCTCTGGGACCACCACGGAGCCGGGGTCCGAGGACTGAACCGGCGGCGCCGGCTCCGGGAGCCCACCGCCTTTGTTTTGGGATCCCACTGTGCTGTCGGGCGCTGCGGAACCCTCTGAGGACACAGGTGAACGGCTCGGGCAGAGACTGCCACCGCACATGACTCACTCCAAAGTGGCAGGTAAACGACCTGGGCTGGGTGAGACACTTAAAGAGGAGGGGGTGGAGCCCGAGAGGATCTGGTTTCTGTGGATGGGGAGGAACTTTGGGGGAAAGAGGGACTGCAGGCAGCGCCCTAGGTCATCTTGGATGGCGTTTAAGACAGGGACAGGGGATTACAATGATTCCTGTAGCAAGCAGGTGGCGGTGTTCAGGACCTAGAGATGGCTCGGCAGCTAAGGGGCACTTGGCGCCACGCCTGGCCTCTTGAGTTTGATCCCAGGGAACCACAGTGGTAGGAGAGAACTGACTCTCACACGTTGTCCTCTGACCACACTCACGCTGCAGCACGTGCAACCCTCCGAGCTTTAATCTCAGCAGAAGCAGGGAGATCTCTGAGTACAAGGCCAGCTGATTTATCTAGCAAGTTCTAGACCAGTCAGGGCTACGTACAAAATAAAATAAAATAAAATAAAATAAACAGCAACTGGCAAGGCTCTAAGGAAGGCGAGTTGAAGCCTGGATTACTCTTAGGAGAGGGAAGCGCTCTGTGAGATCGGTGGAGCTTTGAGTGAAGGGGCCTGGCATATGCAGGGTGGGTGGACCCAATTTAGCCCAGATGCTGTGCAAGGGTGAGGGGCGCGCTTTATGAAGGTGGAAGGGGAATGAGGGGGAACCCGTACTTAGATGAGAAAGACAAAGGCTGGGCTTGTTGGCTTGGGTAAAGGCTAGACGCGAGACTGGAGTTTGTTCTGAAGCTGTAGAGAGGCCGGAAACTGACACGAGAGTGGAGCAAACCCAGAAGCGGAAGGCCACACTGCGCTATATAGACAGCTGGGAGTAGAAGGCAGATGTGGGCAGTTCACCGTGTACTTCCCAAGCTAGAGGGCGTGACATTCCCCTTGACCTCGACCTTCTCCTGGTCCTGATGGGACCCATCACCGTTTTTACCTCGTTCCAACCCCGCCGTGTCCTCTCCTCTCGTTGGTTTAGAAAGTCTGTCCATCCACCCCTACACGACTGTGATTGGACAGCAGTGGCCATGGATTTCTAAAAGACGGGTGGGGCCTAAGTGCTAAGTAGGCCGCGTTGAGGTCCAGGTTCTGTAGGTGGCAGCTAACCCTAGGCAAATCCTGCCTCCCGGAGAACAGGCCCGACTTGGAAGCTGGAGCTAGCCTGGGCAGACTGGGTCACTGCGGCTCTGGTTGAAAGAGGAAACAGGGCAGCGCCCGGTATGATGGGGCATTGCATTGCATCGAGTCGTGTCTCAGCCAGAAGCTAGCTCCTTTTGCAACCTTTCCCAAGATCCTTTACTATTTTAGGGACACCCATTATTTAACCCTTGTAGCAACCCTGGTACATGTAGGTAGCATCATCATATCCTCACATTACAGATCATGAACCTGAAATTCCGGGATGAGGTCATTTTGCCTGAAGTTCTATCATCTGCCTTAGCAGCAATCCAGGACAACATGGAGGCAGAGGCCTGTGTTTCACCCAACACTGAGGCCACTGGCAAGCTTTCAAATTCCTTCTGGCAGTTATCTCGAGAAACATCAGGTATTTAGAGAGAAGCACTTCTGTAGCTGCTTCTATCATTGCGGTAGTATCGACTGAGTCTAGAGCTTTGCACATGCAGGGTAAGCACTTCTGCAGGGCGCTTCACTCTTAGCCTTAAAAAAATTGATTACTGAGTATTACTCAGCTGCTAAAATATGTTTTGCAAGCATGAAATTTGTAGGCAAATGAATGGAACTAGGGGAAAAAAAAATCATCCTGAGGTAACCTATCCCTAGAAAGATAAATATGGTATGAATTCACTTAAATGTGGGAATCAGCCACTGAATAAATGATAACCAACCTACAGTCGATAGACCCAGAGAGGTTAGGTATAGAGGAAGGAACATGGATCTCCCTGGGAGGGATTTTAGAATAGATTTTTTGATTTTTTTTTTGTTTGTTTTTTGTTTTTTTTTGTGTTTTTTTTTTTCGAGACAGGATTTCTTTGTGTAGCTTTGCGCCTTTCCTGGAGCTCACTTGGTAGCCCAGGCTGGCCTCGAATTCACAGAGATCTGCCTGCCTCTGCCTCCCGAGTGCTGGGATTAAAGGCGTGCGCCACCACCGCCTGGCTTAGAATAGACTTTATGTGGGGACATGTGGGGATTGGAACAGGAGGATCAGGTAGGGAGGAGAAATAGGATTGAGAGAGGGAATAGGGGAGAGACAGCTGGAATAGAGAGGCATTTGAAGGATGGTATGGAAACCCAGTGCAGTGGAAACATCTTAAAATATGTGAGGGTGATCCTAATGAGGTCTTCTAATAATAGGGGAGACAGAGTCCCAACTGACCATCTCTTGTCACCAAACAAAGCTTCCAGTACTAGGACTGGGTTGCAAGCTGTTGGCCAATGGGGTCCCATGGGAATCCCCAAACAACCCAGGCTGTTGCTAAACAATGGGTTGCTCTCTGCAAACTGGCTCACTACCCACACAACTCACTGAACATGGAGAAGTGGAGCTGGTGCCCACACGAAGCCTTCACCCCTATGTTCTGGTGTCTTTGGTTCGGAAAGGTACTCTTCAGGCTACCAACAGAGAAACGTAAACACCAACCTAGATACAAAACTTTTGACCTACAATTTGTCCTGTCTGCAAGATATGCTAGGGCAAATGGTGGCACAGAACTTGTGGTCTGGTTTGACTTAAGCCCACCCCATGAGACTGAACCCACACCCAACACTGCTTGGGTAACAAAGAACCAGAGGCTAGATAGACCTAGGGTAAAAGCAAATACTATTGGTCAAAAAAGAAAGAAAAAAAAGTATCAATGGATTGACTCTAATTGATCTTCTGTTCTACTCATAGATCAGAAGATTTGTCTTAATTTGTCATCATCAGAGATGCTTCCTCCTGCAGCTCATGGGAGCAGAGTGTAAGAGCCAGAGAGAATGGAAGGCACCAGGAGAACAATGCCCTCTGAATCAACTGAGTAAGGCTCATATGAATTCAGAGACGGAAGCAGCAAGCACAGACCAATCCTCTAGGTATATAGCTTTCAGCTCAGTATTTTATTGGGACTTCTGATTGTGTGAACAAGTGGACCTTTTTTGTTTGTTTTTTGAGCCTGAGTAGCCTTGGCTGTCCCAGGACTTCCTTTGTAGACCCGGTTGGCCTTGAACTAATAGACTCACCTGCCTCTGCCTCTCAAGTGCTGGGATTAAAGGCATGTGCCACCACTGCCCAGCTGGGTCTCCGATTCTTGTGCACACTCCTGGGGCTCTTTTCCTTCTGTTGATTTGCTTTGTCCAGACTCAATCTTTTAGAAGCCTGTTCTTCTCTAATGAGACAGAAATGAAGTGGATCCAGAGGAGAGGGCAGGTAGGATGAAACTGGTAGTAGTAGAGGGAGGGAAAACTATATATTAAAAAATAATATTTTCAGCCAGGCGGTGGTGGCGCACGCCTTTAATCCCAGCACTCGGGAGGCAGAGACAGGTGGATCTCTGTGAGTTCGAGGCCAGCTTGGGCTACCAAGTGAGTTCCAGGAAAGGCGCAAAGTTACACAGAGAAACCCTGTCTCGAAAAAAACCAAAAAAATAAAAAATGAATAATAATATTTTCAATAAAGGGGGGGGGAAACAATTATTACTATTTATTTGGTTTTTGTTTTTATGCTGACTCTTGCAGCCATCTAGCTTAGGTTGGCCTGCGACTGGCCTCCCCTTCCGGCTTGATGGGATTACAGACATAGGCCATCTGTACCCAATTTTTTGAGACAAGATCTTATAAACTGCTTAGGATCCTCTTGTGTTTCAGCCTTCTGAGAAGCCCCTGATGCCTGACTGAGTGGCTAGCTCTGAGACAGGGCCCTGTGTACACTACAGCTGGTTTCAAACCCTCTATGTAGCAAATGACCAGAAACTTCTGATCCATCTGCTTCGCTCCCGAGTATAATTACAGGAATACATCACCACGTCTGGTTTGTGTGATGCTGCAATTAAATCCAGAACCTCTTGCACGCTAGGCAAGCATGCTACCAGCTGGGCCTTTCTAAGTGGCTAGTTAAACATTTACCATCTTGGATTATTGCCTCTCAAGTTACCACTTATTGCACATGGCTCCCTCACTTCTCTACACTCTACTCATCTCTTGCCCCACTTGCCACTGTTATATGCCTTTTTATTATCAAACAGGATACTAAACAGCGTATTTATTCTGCACAAGGACGATAATTAAACCCTTGGCGAATGGCCATTGTTCAACCTCAGTAAAAAATCCACTTGAGTAGAATGACACTGTCTTTATTCTGACTTTACCATCTCTTTCTTTTTTTTTTCTTTTTCGAGACAGGGTTTCTCTGTGTAGCTTTGCGCCTTTCCTGGAACTCACTTGGTAGCCCAGGCTGGCCTCGAACTCACAGAGATCCGCCTGGCTCT